TTCCAGTCTAATCCATTACATTCACTTACATGCCAATACCCCTGGGAAAGGTATGAATGCTCTTCTCCCCCACCAGTTATGGGTAAATAGCAGGACAGACTGGGTTCTATAGCCTTGGATGGCAACTGGTCTACCACAAAAGAAATGGCAAGCTACTGCGGGAAAAAATCTGCCTCGTCAGTCATGTATCGAAAGATACATGATCGCCTAAGCGTCTATCATGCATAGCACATAACTGACTGATTCAACTTTGCTTTGACATTGACACAATCTGTAGCGGAGATGTCAACGCAGTTCGGATTTAATGTCGGTTACCCCTAGGAGAAAGCCGGTTCTAAATCTGCCGGAGAGTGCATATTTTTCTCTAATAAGATTGCTCAAATATTCAGGCCGGTAGACAAAAACAAATATAGCGTTTAATAATTAGACTGAGCGTCTGCTCAAATATTGAGTATCCACTAAAAATAACGTTTAAGCTTTTTTATATATATATATATATATATATATATATATATATATATATATATATATATATATAGAGAGAGAGAGAAAGAATATACTATGTACAGTTTAAATCACAATATTTAAAAATAACTGGGCGAACAATATTTAAAGAAATTTGCATCCATTTCCGTGTTGTTTGTCTTTCAATGACTCTTTGGGATGCCATTCCCACTCATTTCACCGTTGAAATAAAAATGACAGCAAAAAAGAAAGTGTATTTTAGAGAACTCGCCGTATCTGATAACTGTTTTATTGTTGATTGTTGTCAACCATTCCAGGTCGATGAAGAAATTTATCTAAATTTGGAAAAACATGACCACTACAATATCCGCGAGTTCGTCCCTTGAAACGACTTCAACTTTCCCGTGAGAAACGATGTGTTCTGCTTTGTTTTAATATACTTGCTCTTTCTTTCAGTAGAGAGCAAGCAAAGACAAACACCGCCATCTTCTTGCTTTATTACAACCACGCCCTTCTTTTTCTTCTTCGTGCTCCTCACCATTGTAATTGTTTTCTGTTTCTTTTTAACTCTGCCTCTTTCTTTTATTTCTTATTGCTTTTCATTCTTTATCATTTCTATTTCAAGTTTCTTTCACCTTTTTTGTTCATTCGTCTTTAACGGCATATTCTCCACACTTGTTACTTCTTTCTCTCTTTCTCCCTTTTTTATTTCTCCCTTTTTCCCACCCTTTCTCTCTCTCTCTCTCTCTCTCTCTGTTTCTCCCTTTTTCTTTCTTTCTCTGTTTCTCCCTTTTTCTTTCTCTGTGTTTGTCCCTTTTGTCTCTCTGTGTTTGTCCCTTTTTTCTATCTCTGTTTCTCCCTTTTTTCTCTCTCTTCTTCTTCCCTTTATCTCTCATATTAATTTGCCTTCTCTTACTCCTCTGTTTTTTTTCTAATATGACTTCATCTTCCATTATGTTTCTTCTTTTTCTCGTTCATTTTTATATAATTTAACCGTTTAAATTTTTTATTTAATTTAACCGTTTAAATTATTCACAAACTTCAAGCAATTTTCGGTTACTTTTCTTTAAAATTCCTTTTTTTCTTTTTTCTTTTTTACTCGTACGATTTCCTTTTCTTTCTTTCTTATTTTTTGCCTTTCATTTGATCTTTTTTTACATATTTCACTGCTACATTTATTTTATACTTATTTCATTCTGCTTTCTTTCTTAACGTTTTCTTTATTTCTATTCTTTCTTTATTATTTCTACTTGTTCTATACCTTTTCCCTCCTTACTCTCCTACATCCCCCCAACTTTTTTGTTTCTACATCCACCTCTCCTCCTCCATCTCATCCCTTATCCCTTTTTTGGCTTTCAGAAAGCCTGTACACCATTTGGGTGAGCCTGTGGAACTGAGACTGCCATCAAAACACAATGGCTGCATTTTTTTAAATTTTGTTTTTATCTTCTTACCGATTTTTTTTCACTCGCTATCAGTAACAGCCAAACGACAAACCCTGTTTCCATTGCACTCTGTAAATATGATCAAATAAACAATGTAACAAACAAACCTTGCGCGCCCCGTGACTCACCGACTGACCGTTGGAGCCCCACTACCCACACTCCGCTGTGTGCAGAAGCCTGCAGTAACGGGTGGACTGACTGTGTCGTTCGAAAACCGGCAATATAATTTCCCGCGTGCCGTTGAAAATTCTGACCGCAACGGATCTTAAAGTTTCCAATATTAAAAAAGTTGTCGATTTTTTGATAATAAAAGTTTTTCATTTAAAAAAGCCAAAAAAAAAAAAAGAACAAAAGAACAAGAAAAGTTAATCACTGTGAATTAATCTAGTTTTAATTACAGTCAAAATGATTACCCCACGTACCGTTGTTATCAGTACTACCATCGCCATTAGTACTAAATAATAATAGTAATAACAACAAAAAATAAGATTGTGAGTTTCAGAGTTGATCTGAAAGAAATTGAAAAGGTAGACAAGTATTGCGACTTGAGAGATAAATTGTGGAACATGAAAATAATAGTTGTACCAGTCTTCATCATAGCACTAGGAGCAGCTCAGAAGACCGTAAAAATATATTCAGGCAATGGAAACTCTTAGTAAAGTTGGAGCTGTTAAGATGATGACATTATTGAAAACATCTAGAATAATGACAGTAATAAAACTGCTAGTGTATTGAGGAGACTTGCCGTTATTTAATCTCCAGTGAAAGTCACTGTTTACTATTTGGGTGATTAATCAGGAAGATGACGTCGTTACCTTACTGTGGAATTTCACATACAGCGACCGCATTATAAGAAGCTAAGAGACCAGATATTGTCTTAAGACTTCAAAGAACATAAAAACTAATCATTATCATACTGTCTGATAAAACATTAAAAAAACAAAAAGAATTACTATTATCCCATTAGTTACAGGAGCGCTAAGAATGATTAAGAAGAATATTGATATATACATTATGAAAATGATCTATCTCTATCTGAAATACAAAATATTATACTAATAAGTAATACTCAATACTTAAAAAAAAAAAACTTTAAAAGTCTCTTCCTCATCACCGTAACATAAATTCTATGTGTCGCTTCTATAAATACCTTCATGGTAATTGTCCTGATAACTATTCCTCTTTGATACACAGACTTTATTAATTTAAGCGTACTATTAGATTACAGTTGAAATGGTTAGATGTAACCATAAGTTCTACGCTAACAATTTCTTCTCTCGCACTTCTCACTTGTGGAACTCTTCCTGCTTCTTGCTTTCCAGCCAAATTTGATCTTTAAAAATTTAAATGTAACAATCGTTACCTTCTGTCTTCTTAATTCCTGTTCTTTTATTGTCCTCTCTCTTTAATGTTTTTCTTTTTCTCATTCTTTCACACTCAGTAACCACTTGAGTCTTAGTGGCTTTGCTGCCTTGCTTTGGGTGAAAATGATAGGGTAAATGATTCATTTTTTTTAAGTCTCAAGTAAAAGTGATAGTGAATGTGGATCATGCGAAGATAGAAATTAAACGTTCAATTACACAGAATTATAAAGATTGCAAAAAAGAGGCATGGCAGATTGGGAAAAAGTGATTTACTGCAAACTACGCAAACAAATAACATTTAGCTGTAGAAATCATTGGCATGCGTCTAAATCAGAATTTGTCTTAGAAATTAAGACATAAAATTTTCTGTGACTGTGAATTTCAAACGGTTCACTCAATTCAGACCAGATTTTGTAAACAAGAGGACAATTGTCCAACAGTGCATACTGCTTACCCATTAAACTAAAGTGAAACTGAAGAAAGAAAAATATTTGAAACTTGAGACAAAACTAAACAAATGTGAGAACTTGAAGATTTTAGTTGTACCCATCATTATTGGCCCGCCTAGAATATTCATGAAGTGATTTGCAGAGATTGGAAGAACTGAAAAATTGAAGATTTTAAAAAAATAGCTTCAGCCAACAACAGTATTATTAAAATATGCAAGCATAAAACAGATACTGTTGAAGAAAGTTGCTGTTAGTTTATCTGCGTTGAAAACAATGAGATACGACCAAATCTGAACGAATACAATTAAAAAAAATAATAGGCACGCCAGAGTAAGAGCAGTGATATACTAGGAACTGTGCAAAGGATTTGGGTTCAAATATATAAAAAATGGTAGGAAATTTTTTTTAGTAAATAATAAGTAGAACATCCGTGGTGGAAGTCGAGGCATATCCCGCCATTTAAGTAAGAATAACGGATTTGATCGTGGTAAACAGGGGAAATAAATTTTACCATCTGGCTGGGCAAGCAGGCCATAAACTGAAGACAAAATAAATCAAAACTTAACAGGACCTCACCTGGGAAGTGGTAAAACTGCGGAACATAGGAATGTGGTGCCTATTATAATTGTGACTGTGCTAACCCCTCCCCCCCCCAGTTTTAAGACTGAATAAATTACTTGTGAGACTTTTCATCTAACAACACCGTTAGACTCAACGAGAGTACCGTCATTACCTAGACATATATGCAATTTGCCCTCTTTAAGTTGTGGATGATTCAGGTAATGTAAAAAAATGTATATATACACACACACGAGTATATGAGCATAAACCCCATGATTAAAATGGTGGAATCGGTTATACGCAGGTCTGTGGGTTATTTGATTTGTTTCCTGAATGGTGTCGAAGGGTCTGGCACAACCACAAAAATTTCTCCAAAATCTTCAAGTCATGAGATGCGTATACACAATGTTTTATATATGTGGATTAATGTCGCCAGTTTTGGGCACCATTTTTATTTGCCATCGTCCTAGTAATATAAATGTTAAAATTAGCCGTTTCCATACAGGAAATATTTGTCACTTATCGAGCGAAAATTTAGCGTTCCTGTCGGTTGAAATTTATTTAAAAAAAAAACAGTTTTTCGGGAAATTATATTTCTTAGCTGTTATCGCTTTTTCTGGTATTGACTGGAGTTTCCTTCCTAATCTTTTGTTTAAGATAGTATGGAAATTCAACATTTTGATTATATCATTATTGTCCCTTTTAATTGTATTGGCTTGCAGCCAAATCACGTTGGAACACCGGTTCTCGTACGATCACCGAAGTTAAGCAACGTCGAGCCGGGTGACTAAATGGGTGACTGCTTTGGAATACCAGGTACTGTTAGCTTGGGTGTGCAGGTGATGTAATAGATAAAATGTATGAATCCACCTCGTCTCTCTGCGAGCTATTGGTTAATTAGTAAGAATTGTATCAGTAAATCATTATCTACAAAAAATTATTACGATCTAAAAATATTTTCTGGATTTAAATAACCTGCAAAAGCTTAATAAGCCGTAAAAAAGAAATCAGTCATTTCTAATTGTACATCCCTGTACAAATTAATCGAAACAACCGTTTTAGTTTCCTTTCTTTCACCATACGGTCAACTTTAGACCCACTGGAATGACAGGGTCTAATCGATTTCTATTTTTTTCTTCAGATTAGGTCATTTGCGGGTGTGCAGTAATATGGATTTATTTTCGGGGTGTATGATGAAATTTGTTTGGTCTTGAAAAATATTGCGTCATCCGTGATTGCATCAGATTTTTATCACGCCCGGACACTATTGTCTCGATTGTCGATTAGTTGTCCTATGGCTATTGCCTGCGATGGACGTTACTCCAAGAACGCGTACGAAAATTGCAACGCTGCACGAACACACTGGCAACCCTTACCAGTGATCAAGTACTATAGACTGGCTCGGAAACTCTCCCGATTTAAATCCAATCAAGAATCTGTGGTCAATCTGCAAGGAACGACTTCATGGAATGGACATACGAAGCATTAACATGTGCACTAGGTCATGTTTCATTGGAAAATACGAAAAATGAGTAAATAATAACGGAATTATTCGATTTATTTCAATTAATTTACACAAGGGTGTGTGTACTACCAATTGCTGTTGTAGTTGTTGTTGGAAGTCTTCAAGTGATGAGATTTTTGTTAATTGATAAAGCTCTTATGATTTTGTATCGCCAGTCCATAGAGTCTGACGAAAAGGAATCATTCGCTTGATGACATTTTTAATCATTGATCTGCAAAAACGATTGTATAAAGCTGATAGTTTAGACATTTTTGAACGAGTTGGCATCCGTATGAGAATCTAGATCTGACGTGGATATTTAAGAACATGAATACAGTTTTCTTAAAGCGTTGGGCAAACTTACTTATAACTCAACTTATCTTGTATATAAGGTTTTCATTTCCTATTCAAAATTTATAAATGAACCATACATCAAGGGTATAGTCAACAAATCAGCATCATTAATACACAAATACTTTCACTAGGTTCTGTCGTCCATATTGTTCCTTTTATGTTTTTTTCACAGTTAAAACCCGCGCTATTTTTCCATCTATAAAATAATTGAGATGAAAAAAAAATGTTGCAAAAATAAATAAATGCAAGAAACTAATACGAGAATATATTTTTTTCATCTTCAAGCGTCAAAAGTCAGCATTATTATTTTGACTAAACTTTATAATAATTATCGTACCATGTGAGTGGAACTAAACAACAAATGTGTACCGGTTGTTTCTTATTGTTTTATGATCATGCAATTTGCGCCCTGGTTGTCTCCGGTCGTCGGCGTTGAGCTGACGATCGCTGAGAACCAGCCTTTCAATTTGGTTGTGTCGGAGCGTTGTCAACTAAGATGGACGTGCGTGTCTGATGCCCGCGAGTTCTCAACGCGCTTTTAAAATTTAAAACTAGACCTTTTCAACTTTCTCATCATTAGTATTCCAACAAAGAGGAAAGGGCTTTGGGAAAATGTACTCATCTATTGTCTCCCAGTAACAAACTTATTGGACAATAGAGGGAGTTATCACCAACTGCATGTTTTTGTCTTTCTCCTTATTTCTTCTCTCCTCTCTCTTTCTTTCACTTTCTCTTCCTTCTTGTTTTTCCCCTCTATCATAAAAGCATAGCAACACTCTCCTCCTCTATGCGTCTTCGGTAGGTGTTTTCTAAAGATAATGCGCATAAAGGACGCACACACACTTGTCTGATGTAGTTTATAATCGTGCATGCGTGTATTTGACTATATGAATGTTATTTATTTCTCTCTCTCTCTCTCTCTCATAAATACATCTCCAAACGAGATTGATTAAAAAGAATCGATACGGCTGTCTGTCTATTTTTATTGTATTTTGCCAATTTTCGAATAAGGTGTTGGATATTGGAATCAAAGTTGTGGTATCTGAGTCGTAAGCAGAATTCCTTTGTCGACATCCTGGTATTCTACCTATGACACAGACACGACATTAGTTCTTGAAAATGACCGGGACGATTGAAAGTACTTAAATAAACATGAACTTCGGATAGTTTATTCATGATTTTGATTCTACACATATCATATTGGTAAACCTACAATTTTTTTTTTTAATCAAACTTGTTTGGATGAATACTTGCTGCCTAAATGTATAATTCCTCACCGGTAGGATGACTCTGAGTTTAATGTACAGTGTAATCTTCAGGTGTTAAATCGAGACTGACCGTTATATGTTAGATGTATATTTATTAATATATAATTTATAGGTCTCTTATAATACATCGAACACTATTTAATTAACAACAGCACTCAATGTGCGATATTATATATATATATATATATATATATATATATATATATATATATATATATATATATATAAATCCTTCACTGCCAGTAATTTACAATCGTCTGATGTGATGCATTTGATACGCATCGAAACATAACTGCGGCTTTTGACATGTTATCGATGTAATATCCTAATATATATTGGTGAGTACGCGTATATGTGGTTTGGTTTATGCTTATATGATATTATGATTTCATATTTATGAAATATTTATAAATATTTTCAAATACATCTACATTCCTGTACATTTTCAAATCATGTCTCGGTATGTAAGTATTTTGATATCTACATGCATATATATATATATATATATATATATATATATATATATATATATATAAGAATGTGTAATGACTATTATTATTAACCTCTGCATTCTGTTAGACCAGGAAATAATTATGGGTTTTATTCAGTGATCAGTTTGGGAACGATTTATCTCTATATGTAAAAATGCCTTTTAAGCATAGGCATTGACATACATTGATAAGTTATAAATTGTTATTTAATACGATGTGTAAGCATATACTGTATTATAATATTTTCCGATGTGGAAGCATATATTGTATTTTAATCTTTCTCCGTGTATATTATCGATAAAAATAAAATAAGCAAAATTAATGCTCCTCTGGTATAAAAAAGCAGAACTTAAAATGTTTCACTGATGGAACAATGGGTAATAAAAGTTTAATTCTGTACTTTTGTAAACATTGAGGATTATAAAAAAAACAGTGCTCAATGCTATATAACATAACTATTAGGTATATATTAGTGAATACACGTGCTATCCCACGTCGATAGCACGACTCTGCGTTTCATGCAGTTACATCAGGTGCTGAATACTCAATAGTATAGACACTATTAAATCAACTCCACGAGAATGCGAATTTCGCAACGCTTAACGGTCAGCGAATATGTCAGTGGGCAGTGATCACCCGTCTTCCTAGGTTTAGTCATTTTTACACTAACAAATATCTTGCAATTCTGCTTGACCCTGTCTTAGGTAGCACGACCGTTATAATGGACTATTTCGTTTTGATCGCGTGGAAAGACGGAAAAGACATATGAGACGCTACTCGGTTTCAGTGAGAAAATCCAAGAACTTGTAAGATATAAACTCTTTATTCTATAAAAGATTATATCAGAGAGTATATTCTTATGCGTATAGGCGAATATAATATCCGTATTTAAATATCCTTAAATATAATACGCCCCCCATATATATATATATATATATATATATATTGTGCGTGAAAAATTTTGACACGAGATGAGCAGAAGTCATGACTCCATTCCCGTCCACACGCAAAAAGCTGCCGCGCTGACAAACTACAAAGCGGTCCCCTTCTTTCCCACTCTCTGCGAACTACGATCAAAGCGAAAGGAGTGACTAAAAGTAGCCACGAAAAGAAACAGTTCTTTCTTTCTTTGCAGTTGTCTAACTAACTAGGCCGAGGTTTATATTTTATTTCAGGTTGAATTAAACATCACATAAAGTTACTTTTCTCCGAGGTGTCTTGGATTATGGGATCGACTATCACTAGCGATCATGTTCTAATTTCTCAGCAAATTTATCTTTCAAGAACATCTAAGATGTGTCCCAAAAGCGCGCAACAAAAAATATGCGTGCGTGCGCGCGCGTGCACAATGAGGATAGAGTACGGATATCTTTCGTGAGGTGTTTATAACTTGTACACTGTTCAATTATTAACGTTAACAACGAACTATTTTAAATTACGAAATTGTACTTGGATTAAACGAAAATTACTTACGATATAATACATATTACAATACATTCCGTCAGTTTTGCCGGGTACACTAGTATATTAGTAATTTTAATACATTGCGTTAGTTAGTAATTGCCGTTTTGAAAATGACTTCTTTATCGACTGATTTGTGAGGCGTTAGTTTTACGCTCGGTTGCGACGTTTCAAACATCTTGCGTAAACAGACGAGTAAATCGTTCGTCACTTATTATTAATAGTAAAAGAAGGCGATAAAAGATAGGAAAAAAAACCAGGACGTCACGTAGGAAGGGAACAAACTGCGGAATAGGATTGAACTCATGCCCATGACTGGCGCGCTTGAAAACGTAGCAAAAAATTACGTGAGGTTGGAGATTCATTGAAAGGTGCCGCAGTTTTGCTTGATGAGAAAACTTCAAATGAAGTCAAATATGTAAAGAAAAATAACTCCATGAAGACTATAAGAGACAATACAGATTGTAGTTGAAATGATCTGAGTACGGTTATACAAAGGAAATTTAAAGAAGGAAACAATCCCTGGTAGGGACAAATCGAAACATGTTTATTCGAACGGAAATTAAATAAAAAAAAAATGCAAAAGAGGTAAAAAATTCTAATAGTGAAGTCGCCCAGAATTAATAGACATAACTGAGAAGAAACAATAACACATTTGGCACTGTGCAAAAGATATAAATTTGAACAGATGTATACGCACAGATAAAAAGCTATCCTAGAGAATAAAAAAAATAATATTCTATATAA